AAAATATTTTAATAAAATTCTTTATGAGAATTTTAATTTTAAGAAACAATCAATTGTTCTATTAATTATTTATATTTTTGTATTTAAATAATTGAATTCTATTAGAATTTTCTAATAAAAATTGATTTTCATTTCATAAAAATGAATTTCAATTAAAATTTTAGATAATAATTGAATATTAAAAGTAATATAGCGTGGATTTTTAGAAATAATTGAATTTTGAAATTATTTTTTTTGAAAAAGTGTAATTGAATTTTTTTTTACATTATTTGATGTTTTAATTTTCTAATATATATTTAATTAAAGAATTTACGAATAATTGAAATTTGTTAAATTGAATATTGTAAATGAATGGATTTTGAAAATTGTTGAAGAAATTTTTCGAAAATTAATTGATTTAAAGAAAAATTTTAGTGAAAAATTCTTAAAAATAATAATTGAATTGAAATGATGAAAATAATTTTGAAGAAGTACAATATTCTTATAATATAAGAATAGATTTTCCTTTACTCTTAAATTTTCCATTCACAATTTTTTGTATCTTTGTGTAAAATATAAAAAATATTCAATTAACATGTTAATTATTAAATTATTAAAAAATTAAAATAATATTAAAATAGTTAAATTTTTGAATTTATTAGTTTTAAGCAATTAATTTATCAATAATATTTTTTTTATTAAAAAATAAGTGATAGAATCATAAAATTTTATATTAATATTTAACTCAAAATTATGCGAAAAAACAATTATTCCGATCCTTTTCTAAATGATAGGAAAAAAAATATTTTTCCTGTCGCAACTAATATGTATGTAATTAAATAGTAATTTTTTTTTTTTGAAATTGCACATATTCTGAAAAAACTAATTTTCACAGCATTGTGGTTTTCACACGAATCGAATAATAATCACTGTCAAACAATAAGAAAGAAATAATTAATTGCGTGGTGGGAAATGAAGAAAAATTGTACATAAAAAAATTTTTTTTTATTTTTTGATAAATTTTTCAATTTCTCTCTGCGTATTTTGCAAAAAAGATGGATTCAAAGGAAAAAGGGAATTTTTATCACAAAATTATATGTGAAAATGAGGGAGCTTTATTTTTTTTTAATTCATTCAATGCATGAGAGAGGATATCAACGTATAATCATCATTTCCGCATGACTAACGTGTGACTTCTACGGAATTGCATAACGTGATTAATGTTATTAATTAGTGCATTCGCATGACTGTGATTTGTTAGATTTCTCATAATTACTTCTAATGCTTTATGTAATATATCGATTCTCTTTACATAAAATTTATCCATTTTAATGTTTTCCGTACTAATTAATAATTAATTATTTCATAAAGACCATTATTATATTTTGTATTTTGTTCTGTGTTTAAATGAAAGACAAAAGAAATTTGCAATTGAGGATATATTTTAACTGTCCTAAATTAAAATCACTGGTAAAAAGAATATATATTAATTATATTATATTATTTAATTATTATATAATTATAGTTAAATTAAAATTTAACAAAATTTTTTTTTATCTTCTAACTATTTAGTTTTTTTTCTATTCGAATTTAAAAAATTTGTTTAAACATGTTTTAGTTGAAAATAAGTAAAAATCTAAAAACAGAATTTTTCGAGAATCATACTAATTAAAAACTCTACTAATAAGGGAAGGAATTTTTCATTAATTTTTTATTTGAAGAGTAAGTGGAATTTTAATTAGCTTTAATCATTTTAAAAATTAATTTAATTTTTATTAACTTTAATAACTTTGCTTATTTGTATTTTTCGTAGATTTTTTGCGTGTTTTAATCTTTTGAAACAATTTGAATATTTTCTTTATGGAAAAGAAATTTTGCAAATTTGGTAGAATTATAATTATATCTTTAATTAGCTTAAAAATTAATTTAATTTCATCAACTTTAATTAAATTGGTTATTTATAGGGGAACATAGTCTAGGTCGGCCACCTTTTTGACTTTTGTTTATAACTTTTTTTTAAAAATGAATTTGGACAATTGAAGTATATGGTTGGAAAGTCCTGTTTAATAGGAACATTTTTTCTGTACAAAGTAAATTGACAGGTTTAAAAATGAAAAAGTTATAAAGATTTAAAAAAAAAAAAATTTGTAGTCCAGGTTGGCCATTACAGTCAAGGTCGGCCATGTTTAAAATTCAAAGGGCATTAATCGTTAAAAACTAAAATAACATGTTTGGAGTTACGGAAAATTGATTCTTTATTGTTTACAGTTTGTAACTTAATGAAATAACAAAATAATAACAATAAACAATTTAAAAAAATAAATATAAATAAAAAAAAGTTTTGCACTAAAATATTAATAAAATTAAATAAAAATATTAATAAGATGATCAATTATATTATGAGTTATACAGAATTGCAGTTTTTGCAAATGAAGTAGCTCGTCCTCAACTTTGCGCATTTTAAACACATAGTGGCCGACCTTGACAGTAAGTAACATTACCGAATTGTTGTAACCATAAAGAAATACGTTTCGGGATTCGATTTTTTACTTTGTTTTCCTTTCAACCATGAGTCCCACAAATTTTCTGCATACTTGCCTTGACGATTCAATTTGTTTTTTATCTTTTATTAATGGTTTTTCACATTATGCACAAAACTTTTTTTGAGCTTTTTTTGTACCGACGTCACAGAAAACACAATTTTCGATTTTCCGAAAATGTAATTGAACAAAAAGTTAGGTTTCACTAAGACAAGCTTCGACAAAAATGCGCGTAGGTGGCGCTAGTGAACTTGACAAAAAAACGCGAGTGGCCTACCTAGACAGTAGGCCAACCTTGACTACATTCCCCTATTAATCGTAGATTTTTATTCGTATTTTAATCTTTGAAACGATTTGAATATTTTCTTTATGGGAAATATTTCTTAATTTTGCAAATTTTGTAGAATATTAATTAGCCGTAATTAGATGAAAAATTAATTTATTTTGAATCAACTTTGATTAAAGTTAAAGGAAAAAGAAAAGTTTGCATTATATTTTGAAATTTAATGGTAAAAATCTTTTTTTTTGTATTATATAACAAAAACACATTTCACATGCACGTTTTTATTTTCTCATAGAGAAAAATTATTTTATCTCTACGATTTTTTAGAATACCTCTAAAATTTCTTTTTCATCTTTGTAATGTATTTTTGAAACGTATTAAATTTGCATGATTATAAATTATTTTTAATAAATTCAAATTTCTATATAATAATTTAAAATAATAATTAAAATCATTTAATAATTTTAAATAGTAATTAAAATTATTAAATAAAATAAAAATGGCATTTATTAATTTATTCAATGTTGTATTTTTATAACGTAAAATTAATACCTAATATTCATTGTTTTTAATATTAATTTTATTACATTTTCTGTAAATTTGAATTGAAAAAATGTTTATTAGTTTGAATTAGGAAAGTTTACTAATAAATTTGTAGAAATTATTATTTATCAGTAAAATTTTTTAATTCAAAAGCAAAAAGTAACTAATTTGAATTATTAAACAATTTTACTAATTTAAAATTTAGAGAGTGTATTTACGGAGAAAAAAGATATTATTAATTTATTATAGAATTATAACAAATCTGTGAGTTTGTTGGGTGAGAACTTTGTTGGTACTTTATTAATGATCCGATTATCAATGTAACAATCCCTTTTTTCCGTGAATTATTTATTAAATGTAAAATTTATAAAAGGGGGATTAGAGAGGAGAAAACTTGGTAAATTTTTTAAAAGCATGTACTTTTATCTTTTGAATAATTATATTTTCTTGCAATTCTCTTGAATTATTTTATAATATATTTCTACTTTTTCGAAGTAGAGCTTATATTGATAAAGCAAAAATATTTGCCGTTGTTATTAAAAAGAATATTTCAGTTAATATTTACGCAAGCAAATTTTTTTCATTGTTCCATTAAACAATTTTTAAGTAAACAGAATTTCAGAATGTTCAAATTTTTGCGAATTTCATTATGTTTAATTTAAATTGAATAAATTTTTATAATTAAAATTAATTCAATTTAATTGAGAGAATAGTTTTGCCTTGTTTTTCTAAATTAGTTTTCTTTCAATTAATTTAATTGAAATTAATTTTATATAATTAAAATCAATTTAACTTAATTACGTTGAGAGGATTGTTAGAATTGTCCCCTCTTGTTCTCTCAATTATTTGTTTCAATTAATTTTTTTTCTAATTAAAATTAATTTCATCTAATTGAAATCAATTACATAAATTTAACTAAAATCAAATTTATTAAATTGAAATTAATTTTATTTGATTGAAATTTATAAACGCAGCGTAATAATTATTATAATAGATCAATAAGAATAGTTGGAGTAATAATTATTGTGAAATAATTTAATTGTCTGCCAAAATAATTATTATTACACACACTATTATTATTGGACTATTATAATAATTATTATTTCTTAATTAGTTTAATTTGATATAATTTATTAAAACTTTACTTAAAGTTATGCAAAAATTAATGGAAAAGTTGCAATAAATTTTGTTTGGAACTTGGAAAAAAATTTGATTTACAGAAATATTGGTAGTTTTTTTTATTGCACAATTATGTTTCCTTATTCAATATGCAAATTAATTGACTAACAAAATAATCATTATTACACACACTATTATTGTTGCATCATTTTAATAATTATTACACTCAGTATGATTGTTGCATTATAATAATTATTACACATTATTAATATTATTATTATTTTTTCTTTTTTGCATCATTCTAATAATTATAATGCTTTGTTTATTGTAAGAACTATTGATAGAAATAAGATCCAATTTTCTTTTTCACATAATGCTTTAATTCAAAAGAAAAAAAGTATATAATTTGCTTTAGATAGAATGCTTGTTTGTCTGAGATGTTTGATTCCTTTTTTCTTGCGTTTATCGAAATTTTCTTTTTTAACTAAAATTTTTTATTCTTTTTTTTTTTTGATAATAATTGGTTCATTTTTCAGTGCCACCACAATGGAAAATTGAGCCGGTGAACCAAGATGCCATTGTGGGTCACAGCGTTTCCATCGCTTGTCAAGCTGAGGGATTTCCGATTCCATCCGTAACTTGGAAGCAATCTAACAGTAAGTCATAGATCTTTAAGATGAAACGTAAATCTGACCTAGAACTAAAACTGAGTTTCATTAAATTTTTGCACTTTGATCACAAAGCGAAAATTCGGGGTTTTTTTTTTTTTTGTTCTGTAATTCAGAAGTCTTTTTTTCACTCTCTCTCCCTGTCTCTCGCTCACTATTTCCTTCTCACACGCTCACTTTTCTGTCATCAAATGTAGATCGATGGGAAATAAAGCTTTTAGGCAACTTTCAAAGCGATAGAGTCAATTCATGTTTTATACTTTGGAATAAAAGCAGCTGAAATTCTGGATAAAATAACTTGAATATTAAATTTCTCTTTGTTCCGTTTCCATTAATATTCTGACAAATTAATATTAATCGATCAGAGTATGATAGTTGAGTCTATAGAATTTTGGTTTGATTAAAGTGTTACGATTTATGAATATTATATATATGTATGTGATGGATTTGGAATTTAGAATTTTGAAAACGATTCTTTTTCGAATATTTTCAAGAAAGCAGCTTCGGAATATTTTATTCATAATACATTTTTGGAATATTTTATTCATAATACATTTTTGAAATATTTTATGCAAAATGTATTTTTAGAATATTGTATAATATCAAAAATATCTTTCGCTATAAAATTTTCTGATTTTTTAAGAATTTTAAATCAATTTGATTTTATTGATTTTGTATTTTACTAATTACACTAGGGAATTACAATAATTTCAACAATTTTGGCTGACTGACACTTTTTTTTGCTACTTATATGAAATTTGCATTAAACAATATTGTCTGACTAAAAATATCCTTTACTACTGACAAGAGACAAGAAAAAAATTATGTCAGACTACAATTTTACTTGCAATTCTCTTTATAAATAATAAAATTTTTCTCTGATATTCAATTATTTTACAAAATTTCAATTATTTTCAAAAGACTTCTAAAATTCAATAATTTTCAATATCTACTATTTCAATAAAATTTTCCAAAAGAATTCCATTATTAAAAAAAATTTGAATAAAATTCTCCGCAAGCATTCAATTATTTTCATAAATAATAAAACTCATTGTAGAATTTCAATTATTTTTAATGCAATTTTAACCGAATTCTTCGAAAAATGTAATTATTCTTCTTAAAAATTTCATTAAAATTCGTTCAAAGAATTTAATGATTTAAAAAATTTGTTGTTAACATTTTTTTATGAGAATTTAATTTCAAGAAACATGAAATTAATAAATTATTATTTATTTTTGTATTTAAATAATTGAATTCTCGTAGAATTTACTAATGAAAATGGTTTTAAAAATGAATTTCAAGTAAACATTTTAGATTATAATTAAATATTAAAAGCATTTTAACGTGGATTTTTAGAAATAATTAAATTTTGAAAAAGTTTCAAACTAAAATCATTAAAATTCTTAATTTTTCATATTTTTGACAAAAAATTCTGTAGAATTAATTTTTAAAAGTTTAATAGAATTTTTATTGAAATTATTTCAAGTTTTTATTTTTCAATATATATTTAATTGCAGAATTTCCGAATAATTGAAATTTTGTAAAATTAAATTGTAAACGAATGAATTTGAAAATTCTCAAAGAACTTTTTTAAAAATTATTAAAAATAATGGATTTATTGAAGAATTTTAGTTAAAAACACTAGAAAAAAATTTAATTTTAGAGAAATTACAAATTATTACAGAAATTCAATTATTTTTACTTATAATAAAACTCATCGTAACGTTTAAATTATTTTTCATACAATTATAATTGAATTCCTTTGAAAAAATTAATTATATTCGTGCAAGTTTTAATAAAATTCGACAAAAGAATGCAATTATTTTCAATTATTAAAATTCTTTTTAAGAATTCAATTATTTTTACTAATAATAAAACTCATCGTAACGTTTCAATTATTTTTCATACAAAACAATTCTTAATCTTAATTTTTAATATTTTTCACAAAAAATTCTGTAGAATTAATTTTTAGAAGTTTAATAGGATTTTTATTGAAGTTATTTCAAGTTTTTATTTTTCAATCTATATTTAATTGCAGAATTTCCGAATAATTGAAATTTTGTAAAACTGAATTCAATAATTCAATAATTTTCAATATCTACTATTTCAATAAAATTATCGAAAAGAATTCCATTATTAAAAAAAATTAAACGAATGAATTTGAAAATTCTCAAAGAACTTTTTTAAAAATTATTAAAAATAATAGATTTATTGAAGAATTTTAGTTATAAACACTAGAAAAAAATTTAATTTTAGAGAAATTACAAATTATTGCAGAAATTCAATTATTTTTACTCATATAATAAAACTCATGGTAACGTTTCAATTATTTTTCATACAATTATAATTGAATTCCTTTGAAAAAATTAATTATATTCGTGCAAGTTTTAATAAAATTCAACAAAAGAATTCAATTATTTAAAATTTTTTTTTTTAAATTCTTTATGAGAATTGAATTTTGAGAAACATTCAATTATTCAATAAATTATTTACTTTTGCATTCAAATAATTAAATTCTTGTAGAATTTTCTAATAAAAATTGATTTAAAAATAAATTTTAGTTAAAATTTTAGATTATTATTGAATATTAAAAGCAATAAAGCGTGAATTTTTAGAAATAATTGAATTTTGAAATTAATTTTTTTGAAAAAGTTTAATTGAATTTTCTTTTATATTATTTGAAGTTTTTTATTTTCTAATAAGCATTTAATTAAAGAATTTAGGAATCATTGATATTTCCTGAATTTGAATATTGTAAACAAATGGATTTGAAAATTGCCAAAGAACTTTTTCGAAAATTATTAAAAATAATAGATATAAAGTAAAATTGTAGTTAAAAATTTTTGAAAATAATAATTGTATTGAAGTAATGAAAATAATTTTGAAGAAGTATAGGGGAACATAGTCTAGGTCGGCCACCTTTTTGTCTTTTGTTTATAACTTTTTTTTAAAAATGAATTTGGACAATTGAAGTATATGGTTGGAAAGTCCTGTTTAATAGGAACATTTTTTCTGTACAAAGTAAATTGACAGGTTTAAAAATGAAAAAGTTATAAAGATTTAAAAAAAAAAAAATTTGTAGTCCAGGTTGGCCATTACAGTCAAGGTCGGCCATGTTTAAAATTCAAAGGGCATTAATCTTTAAAAAATAAAATAACATGTTTGGAGTTACGGAAAATTGATTCTTTATTGTTTACAGTTTGTAACTTAATGAAATAACAAAATAATAACAATAAACAATTTAAAAAAATAAATATAAATAAAAAAAAGTTTTGCACTAAAATATTAATAAAATTAAATAAAAATATTAATAAGATGATCAATTATATTATGAGTTATACAGAATTGCAGTTTTTGCAAATGAAGTAGCTCGTCCTCATCTTTGCGCATTTTAAACACATAGTGGCCGACCTTGACAGTAAGTAACATTACCGAATTGTTGTAACCATAAAGAAATACGTTTCGGGATTCGATTTTTTACTTTGTTTTCCTTTCAACCATGAGTCCCACAAATTTTCTGCATACTTGCTTTCACGATTCAATTTGTTTTTTATCTTTTATTAATGGTTTTTCACATTATGCACAAAACTTTTTTTGAGCTTTTTTTGTACCGACGTCACAGAAAACACAATTTTCGATTTTCCGAAAATGTAATTGAACAAAAAGTTAGGTTTCACTAAGACAAGCTTCGACAAAAATGCGCGTAGGTGGCGCTAGTGAACTTGACAAAAAAACGCGAGTGGCCTACCTAGACAGTAGGCCAACCTTGACTACATTCCCCTAATATTCTTATAATATAAAATAATGATTTTATTACTTGGTCATCTTTAATTATTATAAAATACGAAGAAATCGATCACTCCGAGTCGAATCACTTCGAACTCGGAGTTATCGATATCTTCATGTTTTATAGTTATAAAAAAATTTAATAAACTAAAATTTCATTCAATGTAAAAAATAACACCAAAATTGATTATTTTAATTTTTTTTGTGTTAATTTAATCTGCAACACTTTTTAATACCTCACGATTTACTGTAAAGTTGTCTGACCGAATTTGTACTACTTAAATTTATTTCACATAACGTATAATAGTATAAGCGTATAAGTAGTAACAGAAATTTTTAGTCAGACAGAATTATTCAAATTATTGTAATTTCATACTGTAAATAGTAAAATACAAAATCAACCAGTCAATTAAAAATCAAAACTCTGTTAATGACTGACTATAACTGACTTTCTTTGCTGATATTAATTTTATGATATTTTTTGCAAAAAAAAAAAAAAAAATCGACTAGTCCTTTAATTTATTGTTCCTAACTTCTTATACAAAAGAATACTCGGAATATTTTCTTATCTCCGAAAAAGAAAGGTTATTAATTTCCCATTTTTTTTCTTCGCAATTCCCACGATGCTACCAACCACGTGCAATATATAAAATTTCCACCTAATTGACTCAGTGAAATTGTAATTTGTAAAAGAAAAAGAAATTTTCCTTCTAACATAAAAATGAATCACCACTTCAGTTCTTGGTTTATATTCAACATTCCTCATCGATATCATTATTATACAAAAGCCAATTATATTGTATCCATCTTGACTCAATATAATGAATCTAAAAATTCCGTCTTTTATCTGCGATCGATACAACGACGTTCCTTGAAACAGCTTGAATAGAGAATATCGCGAGTTGAAAATACATTTTCAACATTATAATGGTATCTCCGAATTGGAAATATAGAGAAGGTTAAAAAAAACTTTTTTTATATATATATATAGATATACGTAAGTTCTGTACGGGTACACAATGGGCTCCTCTTTTGAAAATGAATGGTCTGTCGGGGAAAATCGGAGTAGCCATCGCCATATGTATATATATGTATAGAGAAGAGTCTGCGTGCGTCTAACATACTTCATCAAAGACATTTCACGGAAAAAGAAACGAAACTTTGAAAATATTCCTTTCTGTGACCCATTGAACGTGCTCTTG